GTGGGCGTGATGTGGTTGTGTGTGTGTTGCTGGTGTGGCGTGGTGGCCTGCGGGGTGAGCGCTGCGGCTGTTGGGTTAGGGGAGTGTGTGTCGGTGTGCGCCCGTGCACGCACTCTCTTCGTCGGTGCTCTCTAGAGGCTCGTTCCCCCTCCAGCCACGTCCTACCAGCGGCTTCCCTCCGGGGTCGGGCGACGGAGACTGGCGGAACGCCCTAGTTTCTGTACAGGGGTCTGGAAAGGTCTGGAGAAACCGGCCGAGATGCCTTCTTCCCGGGCGCGCGAATTCGTTGCAGCCGGGCTGGCCTTGGGGCCTCCCGCCAGCTCTCCGCGCTCCCCGCGGGCATCCGGCGCGCCGTCCCGCCGTCTGTCCGCCAGACGAGACCGGCTCTGGGACACCCGTCCAGAACTCCCGCGCTCCCCAGCCGGCCGTTTCCCGCTCCCGCGCGGGGCCGGGGCCAAAGCCAGGAGCATGGCTCCTTCATCGCTGAGGGCAGCGCCTCTAACGCATCTTCAAAACCTCTCCATTTTTTTTTTGCTGTTGTTGTTGTTAACCGTTTTCTTTTTTTCTGGGGGGGGGAGGGAGTTATTTGGTCCAAGAGTGGTTAATGGTTTTGTTTTGTTTTTTATGTGTTTGGTGACTTCATATATGTGTGTACTTTAAACGTCTCAGTCAAACCCCAGCTGAAGACGTTTCCCGGAGCGGGTGTGAAATTTGGAAATAAAGCAAAGACGTGGGGAGAGTGGCTGAAGACCGAGTCAGCCGGAGACCCTCGTGCGGAGCCCGCCTGCCCAGCGATGCCCGGACCTCGAGGTGGCGCTGACCCCAAGGCCTCCCCCTCCCCCTTCCTGGGAGCTTCTCCCAGGTGATCTGGAAAATGAGGCGGGGACGACAATCACAGAGACAGCTCTCGGGAGCGTGGACGTGAGCGCACCCGGAGCGCGGCGGGGCGGGCAGTGACCTCAGGAGCCAGCATGCCGCCCCGCCCGCGCCAGCGCTCATTCACTGCTCCATCACGAAGAAGAAAAGAGACAACAATTCATCCACATCTCAGGAAGAGTCAAATCCGAGTGTGTGTGTGGCGGGGCTCGCGAGCCTCTACAGACTGCTCCTTCCGCGGCCTCGTGGGCCTCACAGAGGGTGGGTCCTTAACCACCTCGCTCCCCGCCCAGCGGAGGAAGGATTCCTCATCCCCCCCATCCCCGCCAAACCGAATTATTCACAAAGTTTCCCCAAACCGAGTTACTACGAGAGCCCCGACAAATCGTACTTAAATTCCACGGAGAACACACGAAACTAAACTAAAATTTCCTTCAGGGGTCAGTGTGTGGGATGAAGGAGAAAGGGAGCTGATAATCCCGCAATGGCCGCCAAGGGCCTTGGACTGGGGTCGCGATGGAAACTACTCCCCAGGGCAGATCCACACAGGTGCTGCGTGGAGAGCCTGCACCAGGTTGCAGACCCGACGCCCGGCTCCCCTCGCAAACGCCCCCCACTTTGCTCAGAAGCGCGCGGTCCGTCCGGTACCGAGTCCAGGGACTGTGCTGTGAGCCCTGAACCCACCAGGTGGCTGGGGTGTCGGGAAGGGGCACTCGTTCGGATGGAGCTCCCGTCTTCAGGGCAGAGTCCGAATTCGGGGGAACTGCAAGTGAGGCATACATCCCACCGCCTTGGGCGCTTATTCTGAGCCAAGAATCAATACCGAATCGGGTGGGATTGCGCTTGCCGGGCGGCTGCGAAGAGCCTGCAAACCACCGTGCACCGCACGGATCTTTCGCGTCCACTCACGAGCCTCGGCTGACTCCCCAGACCTCGGCGGCGCCGTGTCCCCCACTCGGGACCCCGCCCCACTGTCGGCTCCCAGCCCCTCACTTCGGTGCTGGGGCTCTCCAAGCTGGCCCCTTTTCGCTAAGGGAGAAGACCCGCGTGAGAAAGAGCTGGGAGAGCCACTTCTGGCTTTTGTGACAAACAGTGGGTTGAGGTATTGGTAAGTGACAGGAGACAGTTCCTATGTTTTGCCTGCCTTCCTTCCTCCCCTCCTCCAACTCCCCCTTCTCCTTCATCTTGGTTTTATTACGTTTTGGGATTTTGGGTTTTGCAATTCATTCTAAAGCAAATGACAATGGCTTGGAGGTCTTGAGCGCAGCTCCCTCATTTTATGGGATAAAATAAGTCTGAGAGACTGTAAATGGCTGACCCAGGCTATCACAGCCAGCCAGCTCATGGCTGAGCTGGGATGGGAACCCAGGCCTCAGGCCTCTCAGTCTCGCCCTCCCTTCCTTCTGATCAAACTCAGATTTACAGCCCTTCCTAGCCCCCGTGCCTATCCCTTCCACCTTTCCCCACTGTCCCTCCAGTCTCCAAAGTTGGTGAGATGTGGCACCTGTTGGAGGGGACCACTCCCTGGGGATTCTGCATCTGAGGAGACCATGAAGTTTCCCAAAGAGGTGTCGCAGCCCCACACCCTCCAGCATGTGGGAAGAGGGAGCCCTGAAGAGGGAGGTGGTGATGGAAGCAGAGATTTCCTCATCTGTAAACTGGGGATACTAACAGTACTCACTTCACAGGTTTTGGGTGAAGATACACAAGGTTTGTATGCTGTGAGTGTGCTTCATAAATTCTAGAGGGCTGCAGGATGTTTCCTACTGGTACATGGAGGTGAAGATCCTGCATGAGTTCAGCCACGCCCCCTGAGCTTAGGAGATGCTCTCACTATGGGTCGCCTGGCTTTGGAGGATGCCCAAAGTCACTGCTTTAGGGGCCTCTGGAAAAGCTGACCCTGCCCTTTCTTGCTAGGTCTAGCATGGAAAGGACTCTGTGTACATGGCCCTGGGAGGAAGAGTCCTGCAACCCAAACTTTAAGTTCCACCTCAAAAGCACCTCTTTCGTGAAAGCTTCCCTGACAGCCCACCCCACCTCAGAGAGTGTTCTCTTCCTTTGGTGCATGCTGAAATGCAGTCCTTGAAACCCATCACGGTACTGTTGTGTGGCTGCCTCTCTCCGGAGGAAAATGGTGGTGGCAGGAAGAAAGATTTGGAAGGTGATATCCCTGTAAGTTCTTAGCCCCAGCTCTAAGGAGGTGGTGGTGGCATGGCTAGAGTTGGGTAACAAAGGGGGAAGGGTGATCCCACGTGGAAATAGCATTTCTCAACCATGCAAACCCTGCACACCCTGTTGGATGAGAGGGAAGTGGGTTCCAGATATCCAGGGAGGGGGCTCCCTCACAGAGTTCCTTCTCCTGAAGCTCCAAGACTTCAGGCGAGAGAACTCAGAGTCAGGTGCCAGAGGAGTGGTTTCTTGGAAAAATTCATCTCTATACATTCCAGCAGGGCATCCAATTTGATGCCGACTTGCTCTTCCTTCCCTCAGGACGCTTGACTGCACACCCTTCCAAATCTCTCTGTCTCTCCTGGCTACCCCCACCCCCGAGTGCCTTCTCTTACTCTTCTAAGCTTCCCTCTTTCTCTGTTGTCCTCTCCTACTCCCCAATTCTAAGACTGCTGCCTTCACTCTGCACCCTGATAACGAGAGCACGTGTACAAACACGAATTATCTGCACATTCTAGTGACAGAGGGTTTGTATGTGAGTATGTTGGGGAATCTGTGAGGACTGACAGGTTTCTGGGCGGGGTAGCTGTCCGCTAACATGGAGCAGCCTAAATGTGTGAGAACTGCGTACAAGTACATAAATGTTTGTATGCTTGGGTTTTCTGTATTTTAGAGTGTGCACCAACAGTTTGGGTCTGTCGTGGGTCTGTGTAAGACAACCATAGTGCTTTTATTCAGGGGTGTTGCTATTCATCTTTGGGTGTGTAGGTGTGTACACATCACAGTCTGTGCTCTGCATTTGCAGATCCATAAATGAACTTCTGTTCATGGAGGGATGCTAATGTGAACATCGTTGTAGACACCTGTGTGCTGGTAAACGCTAGTGTTATCTGTTGTATTTGAATGGAGTCTCTGTGTAGTTGTGTACCTGTGGCCACAGAGACACCCACCCACCAAGATCTTAGAGGAAAGCCCTGTACACAGACTGGAAGATTTGGCCACGGAGCCCGGCTTGCCGTATTTCCTACGCCCTCCGAGGAGCCATCAAACTGGACTTGCCTCCCACTTTCGGATTTTGTCCGGCTTCGTGCGAGGCTTCAGTCTCAAGCGGCACCAGGAAAGGCGGGGCGCCGCACTGGCAGAAGCTCAGACGGCGGACCCCTCCTTCGGCCTCGGGGGCCTGCGGAGCTGCGGTGTCGCAACCAAACCCTGGCCCCTGCCGGAAGCGGAAGCGACAGGGGCGGTGAGGCTCAATCGCGGCGGTCGCGGCGTGCCAGGCCAAGGGCGCCCTGCGGGGGTGTGCGCGCCGCGCGCGTGCAGGCCGGCTGGGCGCCGGGCGGTACCGCCTCCGACCCGGCGTCTGTTTACCAACAAACTGCCGGCGCTCGGCAGCGACGCATTCCGACGCGCTGAATAAGCTGCGGGGCTGGCTGGCTGGCTGGTCTCGACTCCCCTGCAGGTCCGTGGCGGCGGGATCACAACCGCCGCGCAGATCCCCCAGAGTCGGAGAGCGCGACCGCAGGTTCCTTGCGCCCCCGCAGCCGCAGCGCCTCCGCCAAGGCTTCGCGGCCCTGTCAACTTCCTTGCGTTTCTACGGTTATGATCGGACTGCCCCAATCGCCTTGCAACCCCGGCATCCCTCTCGGAGCTGATCCCGAGATGGCTGGGCCTGGGCCGTGCGCACCGCTCTCCTCCCATCTCCCGGTTCTGAATTTCCCTACCCAGGGCTGCCCCGGAGGGGCGGGCCCCGGCTGCAGCCCTCCGTGAGGTCACCGCGTGTGGTAGCCAATCCGCGGCGTTTAAGTGGGCGGGGACCCCGTCGGGTCCCGGGAACCGAAGCCAAGAGCGAGCCGGGGGCGGGGGGGGGGCGGGGGGGCATGGATTTAGGGGGGAGGGGAAAAGCCATGGGGGCACCCCCCGGAACCCCTTTCCCAGGCGCGCGCTCTCCGCTGGATGAGGCGCAGAGAGACACTTTCCCCAGGATAAGTGTGGGGGAGGCTGATTGGGGGCTCCAACGCCCGAGGCTCCGAAAAGAGAGAGTTGGCGGAGGGAGCGGACTCCGTGCGGGGCCATGGCCTAGGCCCTTCGGCCCCGGCCCCGGCCGCAATGACCTCTTTGCCCTGCCCGCTCCCTGGCCCGGACGCCTCCAAAGCCGTCTTCCCGGACATCGCCCCCGTCCCATCGGTAGTGGCTGCCTACCAGCTTGGCCAGTCCCCCGCAACCGCAACCGCCTCCGATTTGCCCTATTCTGGGCCGTATGGCCACGTCCTGCCCTATCCCTACTCTGGGCCGGCGACCCCCGGAGACTCCTACCTGCCCTGCCAGCTACTCACGGCGCCGTCTCAGCAGTCTCATCAAGAGCGGCAGCCAGGTAAGTACGGCCGCAGCGGCTCTTCCCACCTCCGGGGTCCTGCTCCAGTGAGCCCCTGAACTTCGCCCTCGCCTGGTTGGGCGCAGCTGGCGGGATTCAGACCTTACTCAGATTCCACGGGATCTGGGGTTGGGGGGAGGGCGAAGGGATGGGGCGGGAGACAGGGGGGAGGGGCGGGGGCGAGTTGATCTAGGTCTCCTTTCAAGACCGACCTGGTTTCGATTTGCAGTTATGTGAAGGCGGGTGGCAGGACTCCCTACCCCACCCCCTTGGAGCAGCGGGGTTGTGTACCTACTTATAACGGAAAACTGAAACAATCCAGATGTGGGTGTAGGTGCCTAGCCCCTTCCCTAGGATTCTCTCCATCATGCACTCCTTCTCTCCTCCATGTCGCCCCTCTCCGCGTTCTTGTCTCAGAAAGCAGTGCTCAAGCCACAGCCTGATAAGTAGAAATCAGGTCCCAGCTGGAGGGCAGTAGAAGTGGGGGTTTATTCGGGGCCCCTCCCCCTCTCCCCAGCTGGCACCCGAATGTGCCAGACCGAGACCAAAAGCTGACCTGGTAGAATCTGGGGCTAAATCCTACTACCCATTGTTCTAAGAATGTAGCCACAGGTGGGTCAGGCAGTCTCTCCTAGTAGATCTCAGCCTTCCAGCCAAAGGAACTGGCCATTCCTGTTATCTCCACCCCTTGCCTTTGGGGTAGGTCAGGCCCCAGTTACATTGCCTGGAGCAACTTTGAGCTCCTAAGAAAGTGCTCACTGGAAGGCCTCAAAGAAGCCAGGGAGCTGGCCTGTCTTCCTGGTCCTGGGCCTTGCACAGGCTGTACCCATGCAACACAGTACATACATCCATCTGTAGTGGCTTGGGTTTAGAGCTCAGTTCCCCTGCACTCCCTGTCCCCACCTAATTACCCCACAATTGTCCTTGGCACAGTTTCCTCTAAGGATGCACATCCACTGGGTGACTTAGCTGGACTCAGCCAGGACCAAGATGTCTCCCTCCCTTCCCTTGTTGCTCTGCTGAGACACATGAGTTCATAAACATCAGAGCCAGAAGTGACCCTAGAGATTTAGGAGCTTCTTAATGTAGAGATGGGCAAACTGAGGTCCAAAGAAAGGGTGTGCATGGGTCAAGGACACAGACTGTTTTCCAGGCTTGGCGCTTGCAAATTGGCTTTCACTGCATGAAGCCAGAAAAGAGGATTTTAGGGAACTTCCTCAAAGCCCCCAAAAGTTAACTGCCTTCTGTGCTAGAACTGGGGCTGCCTCTTTCCCGCTTCTGGGTCTGTGGTTGGAAGAGGAGCAGTTGGGGAGGGGGTGTTTCTACAAATGATCTAGTTTCTAAAAAACGAATCCCTTGGCCTCTTCTCTTCAGTATATGCTAATGTGGTACATTTGTGTGTGCGTGTGTGTCTGTTTAGTGGGGTGGGAATAAGATAACTTTGTCCTTAAGAGAATTCTTGGAATTGGGGTTGGTATTTTCAATCCTGTCTTCTACACTCTTGCCTTCCCTTTTCTTGGTTTAAGGACAAGAGAGTGGAGGGTTCCTTTTCTTTACAAAGTTTCCCCGGATCCAACGAAAACCACACATGTCCTTAGATTAGATTATAGCATTTACCTACTGAAACTGGGGCATTGGGCTCACTCTAGATTAAATGATTGGGGTGTGAGAGAGGGCTTGGGGGGTCTTCCTTTTGCCGCCACTCTTGTCCACCCCAGCCTCAGGGAGAGGTTTGGCTCCAAGTGAGCTGCATGCCACCACCCCGATGAGCAGGCAGGTGCCGCTATGGTTCAAGGGAGGCCCTTGGGTTCCTGAATCAAGACCTGGGCAGATCCAGTCGTGACTTCTGCAACTGCTGTGGAGAAAGCAGCTGTCGGGAAAGGAACTGGGAAGGGTCGGGGGGTGTCTGCTGGCAGAGTTAGGGCGCGGAGGGCTTTGAGAGCTTAGCAGCTGGGGTAGGCTCCCCGCTAGCTCTGCCTCACGGTCCGAATTGTTTCACGCAGCCAGAGAGGCACGAGTGGTCGCCGGGGCGGCGAGCAGACGGGTCTAAGCAGGGGAGGCCCGACAGGCGCGGGCGGGAGCGGAAACCCAACGGTTTTTCTGGGAATTGGCTGAGGCGGGGGTCGAGGGGGGTGGATCTGAGAAGCCCGCAGCGTCTGAGGCCAAGGTTGAGGGATGTGGGGGAGGTGAAGGCACAGGGTCACCGTGGCCGGTCGAGGGCGTGGAACCTGAAGTGCGGGGTGAGCCCGACCGGAGGAAGGGGGTGGGGGACGCGGTCGGACCCCCGCTGCTTCTGGGCACCCGGGCGCAGCGCTCTGTCGACTGAGGTCGGCCGGCAGCCCTGCGAGGAATGCAACGAACCCTAAGCCCGCGGGCATTTCGGCCGCTTCGTCCTCCCCAACACTGCTCTCTACACGAATGGTCCCAATGTCCCCGTAGAGTGGCGTAGTTGGGGCCTCCCGGATCGGAAGAGGGGAACCCCTCGCCCACCCCAATCCCGGGGCCGAGCTGTTCCCAGACCGAGATTCCTCGAGAGGCTGGGCCGGGAGGCAGGAGGTGACCAGATCTCCCGCGGCGGCACCACAAGCGCGATCCAGCAGCGACCCAGAGGGCCTGCGCTGCCGGCGCTGCGCTCTCTCCGAACCCCGGTCACCTTCCGTGCTAGCCGGGAACCCCTCCGTGGGTGCGGCCGGACGGAGGAGGGGGCTGCCTTGCGCCACCGGGCTTCTAGGGCCCCTGAAAGCCACTACTCTAGCCAGCCAGCCTTGGCGGATGGAAGAGACGGTCACTTTTCTGGAGGCTGTGCCTCAGGAGAGGGAGGCCCTTACAATAGGGGAGGTGATGGCAAACCCTGGGGCACTTTCCATACTCTGAAGCTGGGAGGGGTGCTCATCCTGGCGTTCAAGGCCCACTCTGCCGGGCCCCTCTGACCACCCCTCTTCCGGGAGCGGGGAGGCTGCCACGCAGACACTGTCTCGGGTCTCCGAACAATGCTTTTGAGTTCCCCCCCGTCCGGAACGCCCTTCCCCCGTGCTCTCCTGGCCTCAGCCCAGCCCTCGACCCAGCCCTTCTTCCCCGCCCCGCCCCAAGCTGGCGCCACCGCACGCGGCTGAACTCTGTCATCCCGCCGCTGGGCGCCGCCCCGACCCTCGCTCCGGCCAGTGACGCTGTCCCCCTTAGGGACACATGAGCGTTAAGAGTGGGAGCTCCCTGAGGGCAAGAACTGCGGCTAGTCCCACGTGGCACACAGTGGACGTGTGGGGTTTGAAAGGAGGGTGGAGCGGAAGGTAGAGAAGGGCCGAGCCCCAAGCCCGAGTTTTTGCTAACCCGTGGCCGGAATGCAAACGAGATGCAGATGAGCCGTGAGACGGCGCGTCAGCCCCTCTATGCGTGCACACATCGTCTCGGGCCGCCCCCCAGACTCGGAGAAGCCGCCGCTGTCCCCGGAGCCCTCGGAGCGGCGCCCGCAGGCCTCGACCAAGAAGCTCCGGAAGCCGAGGACCATCTATTCGAGTCTGCAGCTGCAGCACCTGAACCAGCGTTTCCAGCACACGCAGTACCTGGCTCTGCCCGAGAGGGCCCAGCTGGCCGCGCAGCTTGGCCTCACCCAGACACAGGTGGGGCCAGTCCCATCCTTCCTGCATGCTAACCCTCCCCAAGTGTGTTCTCTGGGAACTCACCCTCGGGTGTGAACGACTCATGAGTCCCCAAGCCCTGTTTTCACAGTTCTAGCTGGCCCCCAGGAAACTGGGGGAATGTGTTAAAAGGTGTGTGCGGGGGGTGCGGGGGAGGTAGGGCGGTGATTCAGGGGGTAGAGGAGGGTACCCAGACTGGGAGAACTGTATTCTAACTCAGATGCAGGAACTCAGGGCCTTCAGGAGCTTATGGAGGGCTGGAGCAGATGTTCCCAACTTCTGCTCTTCTCCCAGGACGGCTCCCTCCCGCGGGGTCCCTTTCCCTTCGTCACTCCCTTCCACAGGCACACTCCTCCTGACCTTCCATTCTTTCCCCTTTTCTCCCCATAGGTAAAGATCTGGTTTCAGAACAAACGTTCCAAGTACAAGAAGCTCCTGAAGCAGAACTCTGGGGGACAGGAAGGGGACTTCCCTGGGAGGTCCCCCTCCCTGTCTCCCTGTTCCCCACCCCTTCCATCCCCCTGGGATCTACCCAAGGCAGGGGCCCTGCCCGCCAGTGGCTATGGCAACAACTTCGGAGCCTGGTATCAGCATCACTCCCCTGATGTCCTGGCTCCACCTCAGATGATGTGAATCTGGGGCAGTGCAGGTCAGGCTCCCAGCCCTCCTATAGCGCCCAGGCAGGACCCAGCCCACCTGCACCCCTCCTGGGCCAGGAGGAAGCCAGACCCAGATGGGTTTTCTCAGGAGGAGGAGGAGGTAGAGGAGAAAAAGGATGGGGTGGAGTCCTTTCCTCCTTGCCTCATAACCCAGACAGCCTTGGCCATTGCCCCCCACCACCACCAAGGACTGGACACCTTCCCTCCAGCTGGTCAGAGGCTCTGGAGAGAGACTCATTGGCTGGAGTTCAGACTTCCCAGGACCCCTAGTCTTGCCACTCCTCCTCGAAAGGACTGCAGTCCCACCACAGCCTGGGGTTCAACCAGCAACAAACACTGAGTGTTTTTTCTCTTTGTGTGCCTTGGGCCCTGCCCAACCCATGGGTGCGTAAAAGCAGAAGTGAAGTGGACACCCAGAGTCTCCAAGTTGACCGCCATCGAGACCCACCCACTGATTTTTCCTGATTTTTCCCCCCATAACTGATATACCTACTCACCATCCTATGATGTAGATGGGATGGAGTAGAGTTTTGTGCACCTATGGGTAATTTTTACCCTCTTCCTAAAAAAGCCCCTTTTCCCCATGTCTACCCACTATGAGTAGATAATGGACCCAATTACCCATCTGGTTCAATGAGTATTTATTATTAAGCGTCTGGTTCCTATTCCTAATACCTAAACAAACCCACATGCACACACTCTCTGGAAGCCAGCAGGGTAACACTTTGGGGAGAATGGGGACAAGTGTAGGTAGAGATGCCCCCAGATAGGTGGGGTGAGCCCAGCAGTTTAGCTCCTCACAGCTGTCTCTGTCGAATAGAACTGCTCGTATTTATAACCAGTCTGACTAGCAGCCCCCCAAGCTCTTACCAGCCCCATATCATAAGCACCCAGAGATTAAAGTCTGTGCAGAAACCTGGGCCTTGGCTGTGAGGTATGTTCATCTCATGACTTCTGCTCAGCTTTCTCTTCTCTCCCATCTGACCCTTCCAGCACTGAACCAGAGGCACTGGATCCTCCTCTACCACTAACTGGCTATCCGGTTCTAGCTCTGGAATGTTCTAGTAATATCCATATTTCCAGACACTCCAGTGTGAAACCAGAAGATGCTAATACAGGGAACGATCAAAGTCTGAGTGATCCTCACAGCAAATTCTCTCCTGGCCCAGTTCTGGAGGGAGCCAGGCACTTCACAGCCCCCTGTGCCCACCTTCAGCCCAGGGAGAGCACCTGCTCACCTTGGGGGAGGCCACACCTACTGACCCAGTCCAGTCCTCCCCTGGGAGAAGTGAGCTCCTTGGGGTGGAAAGGCCCCAATTCACCTAGTGGAAGGGGGAGCAGGAGGGAGAGGAGAAGGAAAACCCCAGAAGGAACTGGACTTCTCCATCCAACGAACATTTGTAGAGCCGCTGCTCTGTGTTAGATCCTGGGGATATCAAGGTGACCTAGGCAGACCCTGTGGGCTAACAGAGGCCAGACAATGACCAGCCACTTGTGTGAAGTGCCAGGCTAAGGGAAGTACAGAGGGCAGTGAGGGCATAGTCAACACACACACACACACACACACACACACACACGCACGCACGCACGCACGCGCACCTGGCACCCAGCAGCAGGGGGATTGAGGACAGGGGCTGCAAATAATTCAGGGAATCCAGCTCAGCCTGGCCCGAGGCCTTGGGGGAGGGGCCTCCAGTTCCAGACTAGAAGCTCCCAAGTCAAGCTTCCCTCTTACTACCTAAACCTGTTCCCAAGCAAACTGGAAAGCCCACCCAGGCACTTCTCACCAACCCAGGCTGGCCACATAGAAGCCCAAATTGGAGTCTTATGTAGGGGAGAGGGGTTATGAGAGTCAGTGGGAGCCCCCCATCTCAAAAGGGCTGCAATCAGCCCCTCCTAGGCCCTGTTATGTGTCACCGGCCACCCCCATTCCCCAAAATATACATGGAGGGGTCTCCTGGGGGTGGCAAATGGCACAGGGTGGGTCAAAGACAAGCTCTAGGAGCAGTGAGGAATGAGGATGCCAGGAAGAGAAACGCCTTCCTCTTCCTCCCCACCGATGCCTTCTCCTGCCCCTCGCCACCCACCCCATCTCCACCGGCTGTCTTGGTAGCCCCAGCCCCAGATTCCTCCTCTGGGTCTTCTCTGAAGGCCACAGGTCCTCAAGGCAGCTGTTCCCTCCCACGGCAGGTTGCACACTCTTCTTTCCACAGACCTGAGATAAGATCTACCGCTCCATCTCGGAAAACCTCCAAAGGCGAGATTAATTGGACAGCCCGACAAGAGTCGCATCGTTAAAACAACAGCCCAGATTGTAAACTTAAGTAGCAGAAGGAGTGTAATTACTCTTCCAGCCAGCGGCCAGCTGAGCTGACGGTGCCCCCTCTTCCCTACACCCATCCAGCCTCACTTTTCAGTGGAAACAGGAACCCTTGTCCACTTGGGAGCTGGTCCAGTTTCCCTGGGCTCCTGACTGCTGATGGAAATGAACCCCAGTGGAAGAGGTACCCCATTCCCTTCCCACAAACCACTGGAGCTGCAGAAAGGGAGGCTGTGGTTTCTTCCTGTGAGGACACCCCTCTGGGAAAATTGGGTCAGTAAGACAGGGGGGACACTACTGAATGGTTTACAACTGGGGTTTTGGCCTCCAAAGAGTCCTGCTCTGCTGTGTGACTTTTGGAAAGTTGCTTAACCTCTCTCTCCGCCTCCTTTCTCTCCCCCCTAAGATGGGAACACTAATAGGACCTGCTTCCCAGTGCGGTCGTGATGATGAAATGAGATGGTGCTTGTAACATGCTTGACATGGTACCTGGAGCATAGTAAGCACTTAATAAGTGGTGTTCATAGTTGCTGTGTGATTATCGAAGAGGAGAGGTCACAGCGATGCTGAATTCATACTGCCATGGCCATCCATTCACCTCCTGCCTCCAGCCCACCTGCCCCCTCAGGGCAAGGAGGAGAAAAGGGGCTGGAGACTAGAGAACTCCACACATCCCGGGTCATCACCTTTGAGAGCAGGACACAGGCGAGGACCTAAATGCAAAAGCGCCGGGATCTAGAAGCAGCTGAGCCTGGAGCCCACTCTCTCACCTGCACGGGTCTTAGCCACAGGAAAGCTGACTGGGAGCTGTCCTGCCCTCTCCCCACGTGCTATTTTAAGACATGTCCCCCATCTCTCCCCCCAACAAAATGAGATTCAATTAATTCAATTAAAGCAATTTTGGGAGCAGCTCCTGAAGGCTTTCAATGCGAGATAATTACAAGTAATTTGCCGCTGTGAAGAGGAGAAGGGCACACTGGGTCTGGGGGGAAGGAGTCAGCCCCCTCCCCACCAATCACACACAGATCTAGAGGGATTCCACACTGCCATCTGAACTGCCCTCCCATTGGCCAAATTACTTGCAGGTGGGAAGAGGGAGCTTGCGGTGGTGGGAGGGGGCTGGGAAGACCGAGTGACAGACCGCCCCTCCCCCACCACACATCTGCCCCGCAAGGTGGGGTGCGGAGCCGGCTGATCCCCCGACAAAATGTCTGCATAGCCCGAGTAGCTGATTACTCAGCTCCAAGCCTCACTTGAGTTTGGATGCCTGAACTTGCCTCTGGGACTGTATCCAGAGTCAATGGAATGTTATCCGGGTAGCTGAGGCCTGTGTAGATGAGGCCTTAGAGATCAAGGACTTCCCCAGAACTTATAAAGGATGTGGGTAGAGCGGGGAAGGGCCAGAGGAGACATACATTGACTTCTTGCTTCCAAGGAGGTGATGATACACCCACTCTCTCTCCTCCCCTGATCTGATAATCAGCTTTTTAGTTCTGTCTGGCATCTAACCTCAACTCTTGCCATTGTAGTGGTGGCAGATCTCCTCCCAGCTTTCTGTCCTTGGGACCACTGAAGCCTCTTCCTTCAGAAAAGCATCTTGCAGGTGTTTCCCACCCCTAATTCACCTGGGATAACTCTTTCCTTGCCAGGGCTCATTTGTCCTGGGAGGAGGTGGAGGTGGGTATGGTGCCTAGAGGGGACTGGGGTGGAAGGTAGGAGGCTGGGACCAGTGTGTGGGGATGGGCTTCAGGCCTCTGCAAAAACTCCTCTGAACCCTGTTCCCCAAATACCTGGTTTTCAAGGGTCGAAGGTCCCCCTTCACCTGGGATCCCCTGTTCCAAGAGATGAGTAATGTTTTAACAGTAAGGATAGAAAAGAAAAATTCACTGACCCTAAAGTATCTCTCTTTCATATCTTCCCTTCTCTCCCATCTGTCTCCTGGCTTCTCCCATGCCAAGGAGGAGTGAAGAGGAGGGGCCCTTCAGCTCTAGTCTCCCCTCTCCAGCCCTTTCTCCCACCCCTTCTCTGAGTAGCATTGCTGTTGGACCTGGGACAGCCAGGGAGAAATCCTATCAGCGAGTCCCTGGGCAACTGCTGTCTCTCCCCTTCCAAGATGAAAAAAGTTAGAGAGAAAAGTGGCTGCCTCCTCATGCCTCCCCTTCCCCCTTTCCTGGCCAGCTCGGATTGGTTAAAAGGGGGGGAATTAAAGTTTCTTCTATCCCAAACCTCAAAGTACAAAGGCCCCAGACAAATGCACAGAGACAGGCAGATGCAAGGACCCAGGCACAGGGACATCATAAGGGCACACACATTGCCATAGAACAAAGTGCATGCACACACACACCAGCATACGTGGAGTGGGCAGAGCTGCATGCAAGACACACGTGAGCATGCGTACAGGAAACCTTCCATGGTTGTACATGGACATATACAGAGAGGTACACTCCCAGGTTATGTATTCACAGACTGAAGCACAACACAAAGGGATGAACCAAGAGGAAATGCCCAGGGACTTAAACACATGCGAAAATAGACTGAAACATCCCCAGAAATGCACAGACTGGCTTCCCTATGTGTGAGCTTCTCCCGCTCCCTTCTCGTTCCCACCCCCTTTTCCTGGCCGTCCATCTCCTATTTTCTGAGAATATTTCCCTGGTAAGCAGTTGGGGAGAGAGACTGAATGGCCAAGAACCTGATAATTTGATTATAACTTTATTTTCTTTGTTCCCTGAAGCCCTGCCTGCTTCCTTTCCTGAGCTCCAGCAAGAGCTCCCGTCCCAGCCCTTCCTGGCACATCCTGTGGCTCCCAGATGTAGCCATAAATTCCAGCCCTGGCACAGAAACCCAAAGGCTGTCCTCTCGGAGGGCTCCACTGAACCCTCTGCGCCCCTGCCCTGACAGCAACTCAAGGAGGAGGGATCTCAGGGGTCACAGGGTGGTGAGGAAAGCACTGCTTTGGTTCCTACTTACTGTGTAACCTTGGGCAAGTTACACACCCCCTCTGAAGCTTAGATAATTTCTCTTCCTAAATCCTCTGTGTGTGTGTGTGTGTGTGTGTGTGTGTGTGTGTATAAGGGGTTGATGTGTATCCACCACCACTTTTCACTCCAGTCTGGGGCATTGTAAAGCACAGCCTGTCTCTCCCATCAGACTGGAGGCTCCCAGAGTACAGGGCTTTGCTTCTCCCACCAGAATGGGTGCCTTCTGCAGCTCTTTTCAGTCCCCATAGTTTGATGTCTCTAAGGTACTCAGCCCCAGTGGCATCCTGGGAGACGTGTCTGCCAGCCCAGGAAGGGAAAGGAGTTGGCTTCAAGCTTCCTCCAAACACCAAGGTTTCTGATTCAACTCCGCGCAGTGCCAGGCCTTCAGTCTCTCTGGCCCCAAAATGGAGAGGTTACTTCATTTCCAAGGGACGGTTCTACTTTCTGTGGAATATATGTGGAATATATTCCTCCGAGCTTCATCAGAACCATGCCCTTTCAGAGTCAGTTGAATTTTGGGTCAGGCCCTTTGGCCAGCCTGAGGACTTCCACTCCGGCTCGTGGCCCCCGTTCTCTCCCTCTCCGCACTTCAAGCTGATAAATAACATACAGGCCA